ACAATCTGAATTCGTATCCATGCCATTGATTTTGTATTGATTTTGACACAACGTGAAATTGAGGTAAAATTGACTTCACATTCATTTCCAACCAGAATTTATTGCGAGGGTTGTGAAATTGGGTACTATTACGGATATTACTATTAAATAGTGATTTATTTAATTTACTAAAATCGAATTATTTAAACCATCACCGGTTCCTATTTACTCGCCGTCTAATAAGGTCAATTCAACAATGAAATCTTGTGGTAGTAGAGACCGCTAGCTGTCGGGGAAAACTGTCACGCTGACATTTGTCATACCTGACACATAGTTGTTCACAAATTAGATTTTTATCGATTTAATAGACTTACGTGAGTTATCAGACATCAAATGGACAACAACCAAAAATAAAATAAGAATTGCTTTCATTTCTATCATATCCGACAGCTCCAGATCTTGAATAAACTTAAATCACTGCTTCAGCCCTTGTGTTGCTTTTGTTGTTAATCTGATTACACGATGGCAACTTTGGAAAGACTTTTCCAATAATAGATATTTACATAAAAGTCAGGAAAATGTCTCATTACTGAAGAGGAGCTATGTTGAAATACGAGGCACTTTGTGCCGAGTATTTTAAAGCTCCGAGTCAAATAAGACATTTTACTGACGAGTTTTGTATTAAATTTTTCCGGAAATCGCAATAAATCGCTAAAAATCGAGATTTTCCAACAAGTTTTTTAATTAATTGCGCAAAAATCTAGTTTGTCAATTTCTTGAAAACGATGGTTACAAACAAAACAATTATAAAATTTTGTGCGTACGTCAGAGCTGTGTGTTTATTTCATTAATTAATTATGAATACACGCGAAAACACTGGTGAGGATGTTCCTTTTGACCTAAGCAAAGCAGCCGCTGCTGCTACAGAAGAATTGTTACCGTCGAAATCTAAGGAGCGGTATGAAAAGCAGTTCCAAATCTTTGAAGATTGGCGCAGGCTTAAAAATGTTACTTCGCTAACGGAAGACGTATTTCTGGCTTATTTTGCGGAAAAATCAAGTTCTTATAAGGCTTCAAGCCTCTGGAGCACTTACTCTATGTTGAAAGCCGTGCTTTTGTTGAAGGAAAATTTGGGTATCAGCAAGTTTTGTAAGGTAACTGCTTACCTAAAACGAAAATCGACTGGTTACCAACCAAAAAAATCGAAATGTTTGTCTCGGGACCAGATAGATAAATTTCTGCTTGAAGCTCCCGACAAGGAATTTTTATTAATGAAAGTAAGTTATTACAATGATTACATATTTAAGTTTTATTAAATTTGGTAATTTCAGGTGGCGCTTATTTTTGGGGTGTCTGGAGCCTGTCGATGCGACGAATTATCAAGGATGTTAGTTGACGACATTGAAGATCAAAATAACGTGCTAATAGTACACATTCCTGATTCTAAAACAAAAAAACTTCGACGCTTTGTAGTTGTTGATGAAAGAAATCTTACTACATACAGACGTTATTTGGAATTACGTCCGCCTAGTACTCCACACAAGCGCTTATTTTTAAATTACAAGAAAGGGAAATGTACGGTCCAATCAGTGGGCTTGCATTCATTTGGTAAATTTCCTTCTCAAATTGCTACCTACCTTGGTCTACCAACACCTCTGGAATACACAGGACATTGTATGCGGCGCAGTTCCGCGACTTTACTAGTAGACGCAGGAGGAGATATTACCAACTTAAAAAGGCATGGAGGATGGCAAAGCAGTTCAGTAGCAGAAGGATACATAGAAGAGTCCATCGAAAATAAATTAGATATAGCTAATAAAATACAAGCTGGTCCGAAAAAAAGACCCTTCACTAATATCGAGACGTGTCCCTCTACAAGTAGTGATTCATCTGAAATCTGTTGCACCGAAATCTCGACTGAAATTTTTGATAAAAAGGTTAAACTTGATCATAAATCTCTGTCTGGAATTAACATTGCAAATATATCGAATTCTACAATTAATGTTAATATCTGTAAATAGTGTAATTTACGAAATTTTGAATAAATTTTTCTTGTTTAAATAACTAATTATTTTGAGTCATTTTTGTAGTTTTTACAGTACTAGTCAGGGAAATCCAATTTTCCTGCGCCTAATGTCGCAAGGAAATGCTGTTTCAATGACGATTTCCGGAAAATTAATAATAATGCTTTCAAATAACATTACAGTTAAATTCGTACGACAATAAACTACATTTTTAACAACTCAACCGCAAGATGCAACGCGATTCCTTTTCCTTTACTTGATGTAGATGAAGGGGTCACAGCTGACTGCCCGACTGGTCGCAGGATAAAAAATTAGTTTTCCAAATTTGTGAGAATTGAACACAAATGTTGATGAAGGCACACATGCAAGGTCTGAAATAATAGTAAAGTATTTGTATTTCTGAACATAATCGGATTGACACATGACAGTTCTCGATAATTAATAAACATTAAAATACGAATGTGTCGTCTCTAGCTAGATCACAGTAAGCCAGATCCCGCGGTACCTAGCGCCTCTACGGTCACACTTGAACTAACGATATTAGATGACAAGGAGCTACGGAACTTATCCAGACGGTAATAATTTAAACTATTATTTAAGTAATCTAATAAGAATGTCAATAATTTTTAGCTGGTTAAACCACGATTAACTGAAGATGCCGTAACTACCATATTTGCGAATTGTCCAAAACACTTATCTTAAAAAAATATTAAACAACGAGTACTAGAAGGAAAGGAAGAAATTCCTACGTACAGATAGACTACATTTATTTTCTTTTGTAATTAGAAAAACACATTTGTATTGTCCATATAAATTTTTTAAGTAGGTGTTCTATATTAGCTACTTTTAGCTTCATTTGCCTAATAGTCTATTATCATTTTATAAAATAAATTTCATAAAAAATAGAGATGTACCGACTAGTGTCGGCCGACTAGTCGGTTTTGTCAAAACCGGTTTATAAATGCAACGGACAGTGTGTTTTTTTTTTCAATTTCTCTGACTACCTTAAAAACTGTTTTATTTTAATAAAAGAAATAACTAAAGTTTCTTTGTTTTCCCAAAAATGTGTTAAATTTGTTTGGATAATTTTAACATTTAATTTTTTGTAGTAATTCAGTACAAAAATAAAGAATAACACAATTTAGGGCAGTTTATACATTACTTAACCAATTTTAACCACTTTTTTGGAAAATTTTTGGAAATTTTGAATTCGCTTTGCGTGTTTATTGGACCAGATATCGTGACAGCGATTTCAGAATCGTAACTAGCGGAAGATTATCTACACTTTGACACCAATCTTCGGTCGATTAAACCAATTTTAACCGGTTTTGACAAAGCCGACTAGTCGGTCGACACTAGTCGGTACATCTCTAATAAAAAATATAGAATATAATTTTAATTCAACTAAGTACGAAATTTGACTTGCCGAATTGATCGTGTTAAAGAAGCGAGGGTAGTTCTGTCAAAATAACTTTAAATATATTGTTTTTATTGATTTTGAACATGGTTCGATTCTAACATCAGTAAACAAAATGAGAGAATGACGAGGATTTCCAATTCGTTGTAAGACACGTCTTATCATATTTAGTTTATCACCGGAACAGGTTATCCGTTTCAGTTTGCGTGTCCGTTAGTATCATAGAAATAATATTATATGGAAGTAACTTAGAGAGAGATGCGCGTTGTCAACACAGTCGGACAGAGATGGGTTTCTTTGGGTGGCAACACATTGGCGCGAAATTGCCCGGCAATGTGTTTCTGGGAGGTTTCTTTCGTGTTCTCGCATGGTGTGTGAAGGTGTTTTGTTTGCAAAATTACGTTTAGTGAACTCAAGTTACGATTATTCAAATTAGTAGTGTTCTTAGGTTGCATTTTATCGAACTATTTGTTAAGTATGGTGAAATCGTGTTGTGCATATAACTGCACGGAACGTGCAAACGGAAGCAATTTTATTTCATTTCACAGGTAGTAATTACATGTTGTATACAAACGAAGGATTTCGCATAATATAAAAATTTTGTTAGATTCCCTAAACATCCCGAATTACGAAAAAATGGATTATAGCTACAAAAAGGGAGGATTTTATACCTACTGAAAATACTCGTATTTGTGGAAAACATTTTCTAGGATCAGATTTCATAATCCATTTTGGTAAAAGACAATTGAAGAAAGATGTTATTCCCAGCGTCTTTAATTTTCCTGAACATTTATGCAAAAATAAAAAAAACAGAAGAATACTTAAGCGAAGGCGTTCATTTCCAACAAGGTACCTAAACACACTTACTTTACTCATTAATCAATATTATTATTTTTTAACTCATTTTTGGTTATTGTGTTAGTTAATTGTACGTGAATTTAAAAAATTGATCTTGGTAGAGAATTCACACAATTTAATATGTTTAATTAAATTAGTCAAACTGTTAGTTATTCCGAAAGTTTAATTACTTTTATCCTAAAAATTCAGATTTCCAAATGTTAGCTTGAAAAAACAATTATTGTACACTATTAGATTTCGGTAACTTGTAGAAGATTGTTGTATTAACTGAATTCGTAATATATTGTAGATTCTGCACACATTTCATTTTATTAAAAGAGGATTTCCATCGCTTAACACGATTTCTGTTATTTTAGATTATATATAATTATAATGTAAGCTGTGAAAATATAGTTTTCATTAATAAACGTTTGTTATAATAATTTGTTTGAACAAATTCGGAAGAAAACGTATTAATTCCCGTGCAAATGAAGCGTTTCTTGCCACTCAGCACGTGACACCCAGTCAGCCGTCCTTTCCCCACTGACGCATAACCGGTCTAGCTATTTCTCTCTTATGTTGATTACACTCGCCTGCGTATGGAAATGTATACAAGGCTCCATCCACTCCTTTATTATATCAATGGTTAGTATTTAGTCGTCATGAAGATAAGAAAAAACTCAATAAATTGCTGACATGTGTCTTCCAGCATGTTTAAATTACTGGAAATTAAATAACAAAAACTAAGAAATTTTACATACAACATATGTACAAATAAATACAAGTGATAGTTTTCGACTTGAAGTTATCAACACTTCGAAACAAAATTCACTACAAATAGTGATCGAGAGAAAGTGTAAGTGCGTGTTTTCCTCTTTGTTTTCTGTTTTTGGGTATAAATCTGGTGTTTCTGTTGTGAAAGATGCTCTAATAAGACGTTCAATTGGTAAGTAGACCCCAGCATCTGATAGTATTTGTCATAAATACACATAATAAAATGGCTGTGTGATGTCATAAGTGTATTAATAAAATAATTGGCCAGTATGATTAGTTGGCTGTGGAGACAAAGTTGCGGTGTGAATTGTCACAGTTGCTATTCGGTGTTGATAAGATTTTTAACACTATTGGGAGCAGTAGCAAGTACAAAACAGATCTAAAGATAGGTTTTACAAAATTTTCGGAAGATGTAACTATATAATAACTATAACTACATAATATCCTTATAATACAACTAAAATGTCAACATGATCAAAGATAATTTATCCAATACATATCGAGAATGGTTTGTTTAATTGGTCCAAAAATTCTGGGAAACAACTTTTTGAAAACATTTAGAAGTCATCATGAAAAAATAAAACAGGAATTTCTGTCTTCAATTTGCTCATTGCATCATACATTTCAGTTCAAGATTCAACCTAAACGTCATGTACACGACTTTTGAAGAAGAAAGACAAGAAATCAGAAAAATGGAGCAAGAACTTAAGCCAAAGAGAGAACAAAGCGAAAAAAAGCTACTTGAAGAAAATGGTGGTCGTTCCAAGCAGGTATTATAATTATGAATTACCTAACGAAATATGTGTGTTGATAATTTATTTTTGAAATTATTAGAAAAAATTAAAAAAGAGGATAATTGAAATTAAGGATTACAAAATGCGCTGTTTCCAAACGTATTTTTTTTCGTTTTATTTTTGTTAATTTATTTTTCAGACATTTCGGAAACGACCTGGAACGACGGACAAAGGAAAAAAATACGAAGATATGGTTGCTGCCAACATCGTACTACAGCTGGTAAGCGACAGTGAAATAAAAGACTTTTATATTTCCTCGAACGACGAAGAGTTTGGGGATTTTGATGACGTAGTTGTCGAAATTGAAACATGTCAGAGGATCGAAACGAAAGCACTACAATTAAAACACACTAATAACAAAAGACAATTAACTACAAATCAGCTAGCAAGTAAAACGGGGAACTTCAGTATAGTTAAATATTTCAATTCCGCCAAGAAAATACTGAACAAAACGCACCAATTTATTTTGTTCACAACCAACGGACTGGAAATTTCAGACGACACAAAGTTTAAACTCGACGGAGAACAGTTTTACTTGAAGATTATTAAAGTGAGACATTTAGAAGACAGTTTCGACATTTTAAGAATTTCCAAAAATATAGATTTTTATTATAAATTTCACATTATAGAAGACGAATGGACTCGACAAAATCCTGAAAAAATTCAGCAGTATCAAGCATTCTTCAAGAGTTTTCGTCTGTATACCAACCAAGAATGTTTAGAAATTCTTACAAAATCAACAATGAACAGATTTACTGAGATGTTTTTTTCTAACGAAGAAACTTTCAAGAAATACGTCGACGTCATCTCAGAGTGGAGTTTGAAAGAGGGAAGGAAAGAAAAACTAAGCAAAAAAATAACGCAACGTACAATCGCACTTCGTCTGCTTTCTTCTCATCTTGAACCTTTTGTTTTTGATTTAGTCAATGACAAAATGAAAATTCTTCGAGACGCGATTTACTTGTTCGACATTACCCTGTTGGAAAAAGAAGACATCAATGTAGTTAACAAGTTATGGGGCGACTTGGACAAAAGCATTGACCTCAAGAAGTTAAACAAAGTTCGATCTTGCTATTTTCTTTCTGATGTCGAAGATCTAGATGCCATTATGATGATGCAATTGTTATGGTTGATGAACAAGTGTCCGTTAATCGTAAAAGATCACGAAAATATCGAAAAAGCTCTTCAGCTTTGCCCAGATGCAAAATTTATTATACTTGGTGAAGGAAAATGTAGTGAATGGATGAAAAAATATTCGATATTTCAGAACCTGTCACAGTTAGAGTCAAAACTTGAATCGTATGAAAAAGTGTTAGAAAATTTTACCATTTCTTTGCAGGGAAAGGACGAACTTAATTTGAAAACTGCATTAAAAGAAAATGAACAATTTATAAGGTACTTAACTGTGAACAATCTTTTACGAATGTCAAATGGTGCATGCTACATAAATGGGCAAAAGGAAAATTTTCCTAATCTCTATATCGATAGATATTTATCAGTCAATATTATAGACATTAAATATTTACAACATGTTGATCAAAACACTGTTATTATTCTAAATTGCGAAGATAACTCTGAGCGACTAAAAATATCTAAAAAGCACACTGTAACAGATATTGACGGTTTTTATAGTAAAACAAATCCCACAATTTTTGATACACCAATTTTTATAATGAGTAAAAATAAATGTAGCGAATCTGAATTTCAGAAAATATGTTCTAAAACACCCAAGTCCAACTCTGTACATTATTTTACATTTTTTAATAACAATTTAGAATGGGGTCGAAGTAGAGGCGATGTTAGCGAATTGCGAAATTATAAGTTACCTAATCATTCCAAAAACGAAAACGAAATTTGGTCTTCCGAATTCAGCAACAACATTAATTTAGTAACAGGCGATCCGGGAATGGGCAAAACTGAGTTAACGAAAAGTCTAAAAAATAAGTGTTGTTTTAAATATTGGACTGTGATTATCAATCCTGCAGATGTTAACTTTTTCTTTAAGAGTTTAGGGAACTGTAAAATATCAGAGTACGTGGAACGGTTTGAAACTTTCGTTTTGGACGAAAAGTATAAACATTGCAGACGTTTCGAGATAGAATTTTTCAAACGGTGTTTAAAACAAAACAATATAATTTACGTCTGGGACGCTCTTGATGAAATTTTATCGAAGAATTTAGACGCCACTTTAGATTTGATTCTCAGGTTATCACTAAAAGGGGCCATTCAGTGGGTTACGGCTAGACAACACTTGAGAAATTCGCTTGAAACAAAATTGAATGTGCTTTCAATGAGCATTAATCAGTTCAGCGAGTCCGAACAAGAAGACTATATTAGAAAACGTCTTCAGTATTTGGTTTCATCTGCCGACGACATGAAGAGAACGATGGAGAGAATTAAATCTACGTTTGAATTGACACAACATATAGATATATTGGGAATTCCGCTGCAAATTTTTATGCTCACAGAGGTATTTCGTCAAAACGAAGAAACATATTTGAAATTACTGAACACTACGTTCCTCTTGACAGATTTGTATCGTCATTTTATTGAAGGAAAATTTGAGTTTTTCTACGGAGGTAAAGTGCCTGTGAAAGGTGATTACTGGGAAGAAGAAGTCAGGAAGAAAAAAGAAGAAAAATTAAAGCACTATGAAAGGTTTGCGCTTGAATTAATATTTCCTGAGGAAGTTTTGAAACAGTTAAAGATAGATTGTCTGCAAGATATAAATTCGATTTCTGAAGATCTCGCAACTGTTGGTATCGTTACTGGAGTACAAAACGGCATTCCGCAATTCGCACATGTGTCCTTTGCCGAATATTTTGTTGCATTATATTTTTCTAAAAATTTTGAAATGATACGCAAAGAAGTGTTTTTTGGTCAAAAATACAATAATGTACGTTTTTTCTTCGACATGTTAACTGGTAAAAACTCACCGGTCCACATCGCAATTTTATACAAAAATTTTGATGAAATGAAGTACTACGACGACGAAATAATAAAAGGTAAAGACGACTGTGGAAGAAGTGCCTTACATCTTATTTGTTCTTGGGGACAAAGACAAGAGCGTTTAACGGTACAAAACAAATTGATGTGTTACGTTATAGAGGCAAAAAGGGCAATTAGTTGTTCAGCAGAAACGAAAGAATATTCTAACGCGCTATTCTTTTTGTTAGATAAATGTGAAATATTAGAACAAGATTTATTATACAAAATCACACCTTTAGCATGGGCACGAGAAAGTGAAAGTTTGGGTGCGGAATTGCTATTATTGCAATCACGCAAATTGCAACTAGATCGATCGTATAGTCCAAGTGATAGAATTAATCTTCTAATTTTTGCTGCTTTTCTCGGATACGCTGAAGTGGTTAAACTGGTTGTTAAAGAAAAGTTAAATATTTTTAATAATGAACTAAATTGTATTATTAAATTCGATAGTAGTACGCCTCTTATAGTAGCTTCTCGAGAGGGACACGTAACAGTTGTAGAGTACTTACTCAAATGTGGCGCTAAAATCAATGGCGCTGATAAATATGGTCGAACACCCTTTTTCGAAGCGTCCTCGAGTGGCCATGAAAAAACTCTGGAATATCTAGCGAAAAACGGAGCCAACATCAACCGTTCTGATAAATATGATCGGACACCGCTTTTCGCAGCGTCGTCGAATGGTCACGAAAAAATTATCGAATGCCTAGTGAAATGTGGAGCTAAAATCAATCACACGAATAAATACGGTCGGACACCTCTTTTCGTAGCGTCTTTGAACGGTCACCAAAAAACTGTTGAATGCCTAGCGAAATGCGGTGCCAAAATCAATCGCGCTGATAACGATGGTCGGACACCACTTTTCGCAGCGTCCTCGAACGGTCATGAGAAAATTATTGAATACCTAGTGAAATTCGGAGCCGCAGTCAACCACGTTGATGACAGTGGCTGGACACCACTTTACGCAGCTTCCTGGAACAATCACCTAAAAGCTGTCGAGTGCCTAATGAAGTGCGGAGCCGAAACCAAACGAGTTGATAATGACGGTTGGACGCCACTTTTCGCAGCTTCCTGGAACGGTCACAATGAAACCGTTGAATGCTTAGCTCAATGCGGAGCCGAAATCAATCATCCTAATGTTGATGGTAGAACACCACTTCACGCAGCTTCCTTGAACGGTCACCTAAAAACTATCGAGTGTCTAATGCAACACGGAGCCGAAATCAATTGCACTGATAATGATGGTAGAACATCGCTTTTCGCAGCTTCCAGAAACGGTCACATTAAATCTGTTGAATACCTAGTCAAGCACCTAGCCGAAATCAACGCCGCCAATAAGGATGGTTGGACACCGCTGCACACAGCTTTATTCAAGCGCCACGGAAAAATCGTCGAATACCTAGTGACACGCGGAGCCGAAATCAATCGCGGTAATACTGAGGGCTGGATACCGCTTTACACAGCTTCCTGGGACGGTAATGAAAAAACTGTGGAGCTTCTATTAAAGTGTGGAGCCGAAATCAATCGCGCTAATAATCATGGTCGGACACCGCTTTTCGCAGCGGCCGCGAACGGTCACCAGAAAATTGTCGACTGTCTAGTGAAATGTGGGGCCGAAGTCAATCGCGCTGATAATCGTGGTCAGACACCGCTTTTTGCAGCGTCTTCGAACGGTCATGAGAAAATTGTCGAATGTCTAGTGCAATGTGGGGCCGAAGTCAATCGAGCTGATAATCATGGTCGGACACCGCTTTACGCAGCTTCCTCGAATGGTCGTAAAAAGGTTGTGGAATGCTTGGTGAAATGTGGAGCCGAAATCTATCGAGTTGATAATGAATAATGATGATACTGTCGAATGCTTGCGCAGGGACTGGCTTTTAATAATCTATCACTGTTTGGGGTCATCTTCGACCACTTACACGTTGCGTGGACAGGTTGATTTAAAATAATTAAAAATTAAAACAACAGAGCTTTTGCACGACTAAGGTGGCCACCGATTCAGTCGAATAAACAGCATGAAAACAAATAGTTTTACAAACCTCAGATTGCAGAGTTTTGGTCCTATGTGCAAAATAAGAGAGGGCGCTTGAAAATCCCAAGTTCTGTGAAATATGAAAACTTTGTAAACTCTTAATTGAACTCGCTAGTTGATGTTGTCAATCGCTTTAACACGTTATTGAGTAGAGTTTACATCGAATTATATTGTTGATAACCATAGTGACTGTTCATATCTGTTACACAAAATTTGTTTTTTGATACCACAGTTAAACTCCAAACATATTTTAACTCTTTTATTTTGAGCAGATCGCTCTTAATCTTAATGTGGAATCGCTGTAATCAAAATGTGCTTCTTAATTTAGTTAATGAAAGGTCTTTGGTGAGGAGAAGAAATGTGGCTAGTTTAGTATTCATTCAAAAAATAGTTAATGGCTCAATTAGGAGTGAATATTTACTTAATCAAATAAAAATAGTTGTCTCTAAGACTGTAAGCAGATCGCCACTTACCTTCTTCTATAACATACCAAAAACTTTTCACAATTACAACTCGCCAATGTTAAACTGTTTCAAATTATGGAATTGTATTCAAAATAAAATTGACGTTTTTGATGATGATTTGAGCAAACATAAGGTTAAGGATCAATTACTAGACTACTACATGCAGCGTTAATAGTATATTTTGTTTAGTTTTTATGAGGTTGAAAATTATTTTTATGTTTTTTTTATTATTATTATTATTAGTTTTAATTATTTTTTCTATTCATTTTTTTTTGCCATTAGTTATCAATGTATGATTTCTATCTCTATATAGATCTTGTCTCTGTTGGGAAAATAAAACCTATTATTATTATTAATATGATTAGTCGTTTGTGCCGTGTAAATTTTGATTGTGTGAATCATATACGAGTATGTATTGAGTTATATAAGATTCGTTCATTTTTATAATATTTTGTATGTTGATTTACTAATGCTTAGAGTACATATTTTATAAGATTGCTTATTGGTTCTTATTTAATTATGTTTATTGTAAGTGTGTGTTTCTATCCGTTGGAAATAAGTACATTATTATTATTATTTTTAACATATGACTTAGATTATAGACTCTCGTGCACATGAGAAAACGAGTTTAAGACAGAAACAGGGCGTTTTAATTTCCACTCTCCACAAAATATCTCACAGGGGGGTCAAGTTTCTAACCACATGCTTAAGACACGGCTTTAATACCGCTAGCTCATCTGAAGAACACCAACATAAGCATTTTAAGGTAAATTTTATATTACTCTGCAGTGCCATTACGTGCATGTGTACGTAATCATTGATTTACGTGACCGCTTAATTGTTCGTAATCAAAGCTTTAACGACGCAGGAGTAGAAAAATATTTATTTCATTCTCAATGCAAAATCCATTAATAAAAAAATACACCTTGCGATTAAAGAAACATAGGTTTAGGTGATGACGCCGAAGTCATATATGACGCCGAAGTCATATATGTGACACATTTGCGTTGTACCAAATTGTGCGTTTAAGCTAAAAACAATGGCCGATTATTTTTGCTACAATTCGACCCTTATCCCTAAAAAAAACACAAATTATTACATGCTCTAAGACGAGGTACATTCATACTGAAGCAGATAAATGGTAAAAAAACTAATTACTCAAGTTTTGACATAGCAAGACTTCTCCTGATTGCAAAAGGGACAATTAAGTTCTTGATCCAAAGGTATGTACCACAGCTTTCTTCTTGGGAGCAGGCTTCCTTTTCGCATATCAACGTCCCATTTTTATTTACTGGAATTAAATTCGCCGATACATTTCATGATCACACGAAATCCACTAATGTTCAAAACTGGAAATTACAACTGGGTACCACTTGGTCGCACCGTCACAACAACTATAAATAACAATTTTTTTTTGTTTTTTTTTTGTCTGTGAGGGGAAATGTCTTGGGCATACCACGGTGTTGCGTCTCGGCATTCTAAAACCTCTCCATTTTCTGCACAGGTACCAGAACTTTGTCCTCTTCACCTAGGGCCTGACTTCTGAGTGGTCATAGAGATACTGTGCCACTCAGTTGATTCGTCTATTTATTTATTTATTTGTTATTAATTTATTATTAATATTCACCCCCACAGTACAACCATTTATTGGGTTAGATATATTTAACATTAAAATTAACTTAAATTTAACACCATCATGCAGATTGTAACAAGCATACATTTTTAATTTTTCTTGGAGTGGTATTAAAGATGTCGAACATATCCTGGTTTATGTTGTAATTTTCGCAAATGGTATAAATTGGAGAAAATTTACGCACATTAGTGCCAGCTGTAAAAATGTAAAATGTGTCATATGTACGCGCATTTACCCTTGGAACTAACAAATACATACATTTCAATAAATCTTGGCAATCGATATTTCCAGAGACAATTTTGTATAAGAATAGGAACGAAAAATATAAACGTCTTTCCTGTAAACTATTGATGGAAAAGGTTTGTAAGAGTTCTTCTTCAGGAGAGCCTCTTGGAGAGTAGAAACCAAATTTCTTCTAATGTAAAAATTTTAAAAATTTTCTCTGAACTTTTCTATCATGTTAACATACATTATATATCCTGGGGCCCATATGTTACACGCATACTCTAATTTAGTTCACACAAACGCGAAATACAATGTTGACAATGTTTCACTGCTGCGAAAATTATGACTATTGCGTAAGACAAAGCCCAGAGATTTCGCAGCTGATATGATCATTGTCTCTACATGATTGTTGAATGACAATTTCTTCTTTCTGTGTAGGTCATTTTGCATTTTAAAACAGTCGCCCATGCATCTTATTACTCTAAATAACTATTAAGTCGTCCGCATATAGCAAACAACGACATTCTAATGAAGATGTTATGTCATTAATAAAAAGGATGAACAGGAGAGGTCCAAGAACCAATCCTTGAGGGACACCTGATGTTGTATTTATTTCTACTGATTTAAATCTTTTACAGGTCACAAACTGAGTTCTACCAAAAAGGTACGACTGCATCAAGTCTAATAGACAATCGCATGAACCAAAAGAATTTAATTTGGTAATTAACTTGAAATGATCAATCCTATCGAATGCTCGTGAAAAATCGGTGTACACCGTATCCACTTGGTGGCTTGTTGCCTTATTAGGGTCCGTGATGTCTTTTAGAAACGACCAGTCAACGTTTAACACCATGTTATATAAGAAGGCAAAGTCTGCACATCGAAAATTGTAAGATTTATAAAGTTGTCGTTACATATTTTTTTCTTTAGATGATAATTTGTGTTTTATAAATATCTCAAGACTGGGATGATGATGATCTTCAGCAAGTAAAACATCAGTAGCTTTCGTTACTCTGCATTCAATGTTAGACAAAATTAAATCTAATAATCGCAAATTAGAATTCCGTACGAAGTTATATTGACGATAGCCACTCATCTCTAAGAAATTTAAAAGGGCCTTTAAACTTCCATCACTACCTCCTATTTGATCCATTAAGGAGTCTGAGTATGCCAGAATATTAAAATCAAGTAGAATGATTACATCCCCTTCGAGGGTTAAGCAAAGAACTATTAAGTGTTCAAAAAATACATCAATGTCTTTCACACATGTTCTTGGACCAGGAGGTACATATGCAACCAGTAGGTAAAAATTTTGGAAGCAAGAGTTAATTTTGACCACTAGAATATCGATCATTGCCACGGAATCGAAACCTAAATTAGAAATGTCGAGCTTACATGAAGTAAAGGAAGGATTAACTCCTATTAAAACTCCTCCACGTCCTGTACAATTAATACGGGAAAAATTTCTGTCACTTCTATATATTGTGTAATTACTTGATATTTCTGAGTCTAGAACTGAGTCATTCAGAAATGATTCAGTGAATGCAAATACATATATCAGAATGGAAAACATTTAGATAACTACTTACTCAAATCATTTAATTTACTATTAAGACCTTTTACATTTTGATAATAGATTATTAGGTCTCTGTCACGTACTGAGTGGGAGCTACTGCAATTAACTGAATATGCTAATCCGGAAAAAGAAGAAATGTCGCTGATATTAGAGTTTAATTGCTATTGTGAATTAAATATAATTTTTTTAAAGTTTTCGACATGAGTTTTGTAGACCGTGCATTTGTTAATGTCCCAGTCTGCATGGTTTGTGTTTATATTAGCATTAGTTGCTTTCAACATACTACAGTTAGTACACTTAAGAATATAGGACTTACAGTCTTGTACCTTATGTTTTGCTGAACACCTTGGACAGATTTGAAAGTTTTGATCGCATTTATCAGAATAGTGGTGGAAACCACAACAATTATAACAACGGCGAACATTAATTGATTTTGATGAGCAAGCGATTTAGAGAACATTTCTAAACTTTTTTCTTTGGGAATACCCGATATTCTTATTCTTGGGTACAGATCTGACAACTGTTTAATATTATGATCTTTAAGGTCAAGGAGGTTGCCCCCCATCATAGACCTTAAATCTTACGATCCTCCTCTGGTGATCGGGTCAAGAATCTGAACAGAAAAATGTGCGTTATGAGCTGGCATTAGATATAGTACCAGCCTTTTGGGAGCGGTGTGGCCGGAGTTGGCCAGTCGGTGGCAGCAGCGGGTGGAGTCACACGACTTGTCGTCAAGCAGAGCCCTGCGTCTTTTTGAGGCTTCCACGTCGAACTCGTAGTCGACAACTTCTCGAACTAAGGGGTTGGGGATTCTACACCATTCTTGAAAGAAGTGCAATTTCGTGAAGAAATTCCTTTAACTTAAGAATGTTGGCCTCCAGAAGAATCTGGTTGTTTTTGACGAAGCAGGGGACCCTGAAAGTTGTCGAAGAATTTTTGTCTGGAAGACTTCCAGACAATGAAATTGGATTTTGGAAGGCTCGGAACTCCAGACTACGGAGGCATAAAAAATGGGGAGGCGAATGATTGTTGGATAGAGAAGAAATTTGTTTTTAATCGACATCTTGCTGCATCTGCCGATTAGCGGCGCTAGGAGGCCTTTGATTCCATTGGTCTTGGCTACAATGTGAGGAATGAAACTGAGTTTTTTGTCAATGAAGACACAATGATATTTTTTTTGTTGGGATGTCCTGGCCGAACATGGAGACGTGATGATTGACTGTGATGAGCCAATGTCTGCACCACTCCTCCAACGCATCAATGGCCGCCTGTAAGTGGGGGTCACATTTTGCGCCGATTTGTAGGCGGTGTCGTCTGCATAGGTCGCGAGAATGGTTCGAGAGCGCTGATGCCTGAGGGACTCCAGCGTCTATTGGATGTTCTGCTGACAGAGTGTGGCCTATGCGGGCACGCGCGCAAGGTGAAGCTTGTAGACAAGTTCCCCATGCCAGACACTGTCGAAAGCTTTGGCTCCATTGAGAAAAACTGCGCCTGTGAATTGTTTCCATTCAATTGACTTTCTTTCGAATTCTACGACCCGAAAAACTTGGTCGGAGGTGGAATGGTGGGGTCGAAAGCCAAATTGCTTGTCAGGAATGATGCCTATTTCGTTCACGATCTCGGCAAGCCGTTTCCGAATGACCCCTTTTAGCGATCTTTCCTACCGAAGAAAGAAGACTGATGGGGCGATGATTTTTAATACTTATTAATATTAATATTAATAATAGTAATAGTAATAATTATAATGTCTCGTATATTTTG